GAAAAGTTAAAGTTAACTTTTAGAAAAGTTAAACTGACTTTGAAGTAATGTTGAACTAAAATGTAATAATGTCTTGTATTTATATGGAAGTTACTTTTAAATAAAATATGTATAAAAAATGTAAACTTTTTAGTGAATTTCTTTATTTCCTAACTGTTAAACTATATTAAGGTTCTATTAAATAAAAGTAGACAAAGTTTCAGAGTATATAGAAAAAATTTTTCATTTATTTAAAAACCAATGTGTATAACAACATCAATAAAATATTTATCAATATAATAAATAACATCAATAAATATTCATAAATATACATAAAATTAGATTTCTCTTTTCTATTTACAATATAATACTTATATTCTATTACAATAAATACTTAAATTCTATTTTATAATTCTATCATTTCTACATCGTTTTCTATGGCTTTATCTCTTTCTATAATATAATGACCCCATGCAAGAGTGTCAGTGTTGTGTTTCAATAAAAATCTTTTGTCATCATAGGGACTTAGGGCTATTTTTTTCTGTTTTAAAGTAAGGACCTTGTGGAGTTTGGAGCGAATGGAATATTGAGTTCGAGATTGGATTTTAATATTTTTTAAACAATAAATGTAATCATTAAAAGTTATATGTTTCTTAACTACATTAGACTTTACACCTTTTGCCTTTTTTAAGAAATCTTGATTATCCACACGTAAACTATACATTTTACTACGCAAACCAACAAATTCAGTGACAATCCTCCCATTGCATTCGTCCTTCATAAGACCTAACACTTTTTTGTTGGCTTGCGGAATGCCATATATATTATTCATGGGATAATCAGAAGTATCAAATTTGAAAATGTCTGCTTTCATATCAGAATAGACATCCTCACATTTGATATTATAAATAAGGCTGTCAGTGTCAGTATAAAGCAGTTTACAGTTGTTTCCATACTTTTTCCTCATATAATCATAATGAAAATCGTACATAAGGGTTTTTGAGATGTCTAACACGCTAAGACCTATATAAATCGGCTTATTCATGTACACCTCAGTCTTCCTAAGTTCCACAGCTATCAAATTTTCGCTAAAGATAGCTCGCGTGTGGAAGTTAGGTTTAGCAATTAATGCTTCTGCCCCATACCTACCCTCCCACTTTGTCACGAGTTTCACGTTTACGTGATTACGTACATTCTCCATTGTCTTACCATACACCGCATTGTTCATTAATTTAAACAAGTTTTTCTCGAATTCATTACTAGCCTTTGTTCGTTGACTAGTATTGAAATCGACATAATCTTTAAGCCAAGTTGACTGTTTAAATTGTAAAATGCGGTGGATGTGAATCAACTTAAGCCCATTGGCTAATGCTTGTTTAAGTGCACGATAATGGAGAATGTATTTTCGTTTCGGTTGGAGAGTAGTTAGAAGCTTTTCTTGCTTTGACCCTGGTGGTTTCAAGTGTTCAGGACAAAATGGGAAATCATTATGCATATTATGTAGTTCTGTAGGATAATCTAAATCAACTTCCAAAATATAACCTATAGTTGCATCATCTGCAACGTTAAAATTAAAGCTATTGTCAAATTTTGAAACCCACTTGAAATCACCATAGGGAAGAGACTGTACCATGGCCCAACCATATAGATTATTAGCGTCTAAATATACAATGTAAGAAGTCTCCTCATTGACATTGTGCTCTTTCATATATTGATTATTTGCTTTGGCATAACGATTTGTACATTGACTTATGCCCCCTCTTATACCACGTTCAATAAACATTATCATATCAATGTCAGTGAGCAGTTCTAGTTTTACATTTGTATATTTTAACATAGCATCCCAAGTAAAACCCGGTGTCGTGTAATAGTGTGCAGGATCTAACCCGTATGCTTTTAAGCATTGTTCACGGCAATTTTCAAATACATCAGCAAGCAGCAAGATGTCAGTTTTCATATATAAATAAACATAATCACTAAGACTTTTACAATTAAATTCTGACCATACTTGCTGAGCATGTGAATATTCTTGATCTGATATATTTGAATCATTCAATGTACTATAAAAGCGTTCTTTTTGGGGTAACTGAGTTTCTTCGAGTTTTTCCTTAGAGTCGAGATACTCGTAAGGAAAAACTCCTTTTCGGGTTAACAAATTAACTTTATTATCACTATAAGCTGAAAAGTTTGATTTAACAATTTTATATTCATTTAAATATGATGCTAATTTGTCTAAAGATGATGCCATAAATCTAAATGAATCAATGAATCTAAATTTAATGAGACTTGCTTCAACATGTTTTGTAAAACTAATATATTTTTCCTTATTAATGGGAAGAACGTCAACTTTACCTTCAAACTCATTCGCGATTGCTTTAATAATAAAATGTGCATCATAACCACTTAAATTATGAAAGACTACAGGAACTATTCGAGAATCTTGATAATTGACATTACAATCTTGATGGGCTGCACCTCGATACACCCCAGTCAGATGGCAATGATCTCTAACTTTTACTTCTCCATGCTTGATAGTTTTCATACAAATATGGCAAATATTAGCTACTTTAAATGAGGCTTTTTGATCTGCATTTAGAGTATCCATTGGAATATTTACCATAAATGTAGGTTCAATTTCTTCCGCCAACTTTTTCAACTCTTTTGCAAACCATCTCGCCGGATCTTCTTCATTCCTGGGTGATGCCCGGTATTCATTTAAAGAGTCATCATAACTCTTTAAATAGAATCCAATGCTGAGAAGTTGATGTTGTTGAACTACTTCTGTGTGACATCCCATAGATGAAGAATTCTCCCCTGGAACTAGTAGACTCTCGCAATCTGCATATATGATGAATGGTACTTTTTCTTTATTACTAAAGTTCTTGAATTGAATACTACTAGATCCTGGTTTAGGTAAGATGATTTTGGTGTTATTCATTTTTTGGCAATCCTCAACGTGCTCGGTAAGTTTATCGTTGCTTCTGAAGTAGTGAAGACAACGATCGCAAATAAATAACGCATGTCCATCTGTCGACACTTGGTTATTTATAAGACGTGATAGAGATTTTATCCAAACATAGTGGAATTTGTTGGAAATTGCGGAATCTTCTTTATCATCGTCCTCATCAATATAGCGATCATCAACACGTAGAAGATTAACATGTTTGGATTGTTTCTGCGAGGTTAGGTGTATTGGCGAGACGGTAAATTTCCCCTTTCGTTTAACAAGACAGTAAACATTTACTGAAATATTGTTAAGCACTTCAAATCTTGCAACGTCATTGAGTGCTACGGGGAATTTAATATTTGTAAAATTTAACTGATGTTGAATATTTTCATAGTTTTGCAAACGAGATGGATTTGACGAAGCTTGATACAATGCCGATAATATTGCCCACTTGAAGCATTCATTATCCTCTTCATTTCTGACATTGACACAAGCACGTTTAGCTTTAATAGATGGCGGTAGATCAATGAAAGAACCAACACGCAAAGGATTGTATTTGTTAATATTGACATCTAATCTATGGATTGAATAGAGTTGCCAATTTGATTCTTTATCTTGAAAATCTTCAATTTCTTTAAGTGTTTTCTGTTTTACATAATCATTATACCAATCGCGTAACTCAGTTGAAGGGAAAATTGTCTCTGACTTATTAATGAAATATTTTATATCGAATTCTGTAGTACCGTCAGGTAAAAGCTTTTTATATTTTGCATTGAATACTGTATATACTTTCAACGGACCGAACGTGTCTAAGCAAGTTCTAATATGATTTTCAAAAGGAACAAAGGCATCATCTAAAAATTCATTAACATCTAAGTGACTTAAATTAATGACTGTACCGGTTTGTAGTCGATTATTAAAAGCCGAATCAGTTAGAGCCCATTTAATTTTTTCATTTGTTTGATTAAGTCCTGCACCGTGCTTCATTAGCGAATCAAAGTGGCATTTCAAGTAATTTATATGATGTAATAACGTTAAGATTCTATGTTTTTGAGGAACTGAGAAGCTATATTTTCTAAAAAATTTAATTAAAATTGCATAATTTTGTCTAGACTTGTGATGCCACTGAAATGCACTAATGAGTCGATCGTCACCGGATTTTCTAGAGCATAACTCTATATTGGCAGCATCAATGAAATTGTCTGAGGCTTCACAAATCTCATTGAAACTATCAATAGAGGTGTATGGTTTAGATGTTTCGATATTTCTACGATTAGCCATTTTTTAAAAATTCTGAAAAGGATTGTATGAGGAAAAAGCTGAAAAATCTGAAAAGAACGCTGAAAAAATGCTAAAAAGAACTCTGAAAATAACGCTAAAAGAATGCTAAAAAGAACGCTGAAAATAACCTAAAAAAAAAAAAATCTGAAAAACCTATCAAAAGAATTTGGAATAAGTTGGAAAGGAAGTAGTGGAGGTGAAGGGGTGGGGTGGGGGTAGTGCTCGATTTTAAAGATGTCTGCCGAAGATGATGTTGCGAAGCTTCACTCTACTGCTTTTAGTATATCTGAAACAGAAATAGAATTACAATCAATTTTATGAATATTAAGAGAAATGTATACAAAGATATGGAATTTGAGTAAACTTACAATGCTGCTATAAAATTTGGCAATGCAAATGAATGTTTGTCTCTTGTAGGAAGATTGACTTGCTATTCTTGAATCTAAAACAGAAAAAAGGATTATAATTAATTTCATATAATTTATACATATGAATATACAAATAAGAATAACTTACACTGATGCTCTTGGTACTGTTGCTTTAACAAAGTTTTATACTGGAATGAGACCTCTGAAGAGAATTGCTGTAGATATATGGCTAGTGTTGGAGGTCTGATGCTGCTGATTCTGGAAGCTGGAACAGAATGACTTTCCTTGCCACGGGAATCGCCTGAGGTACGTGTAGTCCCCACCATTCACAACATCCCACCACTGCACTCCATCCCCACTTGACGCATGGACTACCAACGGGCCCGGTGACCGTACGCGCAAATCTGCCGCGCACCTTTCACTTTTGAGTCTTCCACTGTGCACCACCCACAGCCACCCACTCCCAACCACCCACAGTCCCGCGCGGTATCTCGCGAACCCTTTGTTCCTCGAGGTTCTAATTATAATTTCTAAATTTTTGGGGCCGTATATGTTTATACATAGAGAAGACATATATGCAAAATAAGGGAGTGGGTAGGCGATAGAAAGAGTTAAATTTTAAAAAAAATCATATGCAAATAAGGGGGTGGTGGGTGACCAAGAGGGTTGAAAGTGGGTGGTAAGGGAGGTGACCAAAAGGGTTAAACATTTCAAAAATTCCCGCGAACAACAGCGCCATCTCGCGGCAACGGTCGGTAACATCAACCTAACCAAAAGGGTTAAATTTCAAATATTCCCGCGAGCAACAGCGCCATCTCGCGCCAACGGCCGGTAACATCCGCCAAGGGTAAAGTAGAGTTACCATATGTCGGTAATGTAGACACCTGCATTACCTGTGTTTTAGAACTGGTACAGCCCTACTACTTTTGTCAATCCGGTGGCCGGTTCTAACCACTAAACCAAAATTTTCAATTACAAAATGTATATATATATATATATATATATATATATATATATATATATATATATATGAGGCATTCTTTTTCAACGCGGACACCCCCCTCTCGCCCAAATTCTTTTCATTTTAAATTCATGTTTAATGGCTTAAATTTTAGTTAAGGGAATATACTTTTGAAATCTGAGTGGCATATTTCCAAATACAAAGGGCTAAAAAGGCCTGAAACATTACTTTTTGGATTGTTCAAAATGAATTAGAGTAACTTTTTATTGATAAATTTAAAGAATAACCTTTATATTGGATCCTATATTTTGTTTTTGGATATATGCCACTCAGATTTCAAAAGTATATTCCTTTAACTAAAATTTAAGCCATTAAACATGAATTTAAAATGAAAAGAATTTGGGCGAGAGGGGTGTCCGCGTTGACAAAGAATGCCTCATATATATATATATATTATTTTCTAAAAAAATTCCTAAAAAAAATTCTAAAGAATTCTAAAATTCCTGTAGGGAACTAAGTGAAAAAAAGTTGATCGGATCGGGCTGTAACTTGCACATAGTTTACCCTTAGGGGTAAGTAATTTAACCACGAAGTATTGTTAGATTTTTTCAAAAACTGTCGGAGAGGGAGAGGGTTGAATTTTTTTGAAAAATTTAAACAGTGAATTTTTGAAGACTTGTAACTTTTAAACAGATACACGGAAAAAAATTAATCTCTAAATTAGAGATTTAATATGAGATTTAGGCATAAACTATCGCTGGAATCGGACGTCGGATGTGAGCAGATCTCTAGAACTGAAATTTGGGGTTATATCTGATCCGAATATTAGTAATATGAAGAACACGTATTTCTTATGCCTAAAAATCATATTAGAAATCTCAAATTTTATGATATGAAACATACAGTTCTAAACTATCAACTTATTTGAATAAATTAAAATAATATATTATTAGAATAAACATTTAATTTTTTTTAAATTTAAGCAAATTGTCTCAAAATCACACAATATATTTTCTGAAAAAACACACACTGAAAAAACACGTTTCAGTACAACTTTTTATAGGTTAGGTTATCCGGTGTCAAAAGAAATTATATAAATTTTACCTGCAAATACAGTGATGTACTCTGTTAAATTCCATCTAATTAAACAGTTTTTGGCAAAATCGTCAGCCATTGTGATAAATAAATTTAATAAACATAAAAATATTATCTCTCACGTGATAACAAATACGTAAAGTGAAAACTGATTCAAACTGGGAAATACAATGTAATCTATATCAGAAGAATTGTGAAATGAACAAATCTCTAAATTAGAGATGTGAATTTATGGCGTTTTTAGGTATAAAGTTTGACAAAATTAAACACAACTTATCACCGTAATTATGACTATAATGTCTAATTTAGACTTACTTATATTTCACTGGATGTAAGATTAATGTTATTTCAAGTTTAGAGATTAATTTTTTTCCGTGTAGAAAAAAAAATTTGTCCTATATGTTTTCGAAAGGTTTTTTTGTGCTCTTTCAATTGGTGAAAAAAAAAATTTCAAAAAATTCAAAATTTGACCCTTAAAAAATATTGAGATGCTTTTTTGTTATTTTCGAGATATTAGTTGATTAATTAAATAATGTTAATAAAAATTTATATATTTCATAAACGAATAAATGTATCGTAATTCTGACGTTACTAAATGATAGTTGACAAAATTCCGCATCCAACGAGCCCTATATAATGTACTTTGGATTAGTATATTGTTAATAAACAATTGCCTAACATGGCAATTGTTTTTAAAAAAAATCCTCTAAACCAAAATAGTCTATATATGGCTCGTTGAATGCGGAATTACGTCAGCTTTTAATTGGTACCTTCAGGATTGCAATAACTTTATTTATTTGTGAAATATTTCATTTTTTATTAACATTAATTAATTAATTAATTAATTAATATCTCGAAAATAACAAAAAAGGACATCTCAATATTTTTTGTGAAAAAAATACACATTTTAGCTTTCAAAAAAAAATAAATAAAAAAATAAAAATGACCGAAATGAAATAAAAAATTCTAAAAAAAGTTTAATTTTCAAAAAAAAGGGTCAAAATTTGAATTTTTTGAAACATTTTTTACACCATTCGAATGAGTAGAAAAAAACCTTTCGAAAACATATAGTACAAATTTTTTTTATTCTTTCTGTTTAAAAGTTACATGTCTTGAAAAATTCACTGCTTAAATTTTTCAAAAAAATCCAACCCCCTCCCTCTCCGACAGTTTTTGAAAAAACCTAACAATACTTTGTGGTTAAATTACTTACCCCTAGGGGTAAACTATGTGCAAGTTGTAACTTGCCTGGTTCAATCAACTTTTTTTTCACTTAGTTCGCTACAGGAATTTTACCCCACACATATATATATGTGACAGTCCCCGAGAGAAGGGACCTTAGCTCACCAGAGGTCAATATTGAGTTTTATATGGTAAATGATAGATTTTGAATTGCTTTTTCACATGCAAAAGTCAAAAACTGATTAGGATAATTGCTTTTGACACAATAACATTTTGAAGATGGGTATGTCAAGCGCATTTCGAGGCGGATTGTGGCACTCAAGAAATCAGCCCCACTATTTTACTTACACAACTATACTCTCGCGTACGTGAGCTTCGCGTACGTGAGACCCGAAGATACACGAAGTAGACGAAGCTCACGTATACAGAAACACAACGTTGTGTTAGTGTGGTGGGGGAACTTTTCAGAAGTTCCGCCCCACTCTTCGAGTTCCACGTTTCTGCTTCTTCTTCAAACGCTTGCCCTGTGAAATTCGTTTTGGTGAGCTAAGGTCCCTTCTCTCGGGGACTGTCACATATATATATATATATATATATATATATATATATATATATGATAGAACAAAAATCTAAGCGCAAAAAACGATTCTTCTAGTATTTTTTAAATAAAATCTAGTATTTTTCTAAATCAGGGAAAATTCAGGAAATTTTATTACAAGTACTGGAAAAAAATTACTACGATAATTCTGTTTTCTAATAACGTTAATTCAAATTTTGACTTAAGAATTTTTTTTCTAATTTTTTACTAATTTTAACTAATTTAATAATTGCAATAAATATAGAATTTTTTTTAATTTTCATCAATAAAAAACATTTATTAAATTTTTTATATTTAAAAATAATTTAGTTTTGAAAAATAATTAATTTAATTTATTTAGGGTCAGTTGGGGTAAATGGGGACAAGAGGTTTTAGAGCTTAATTTACAATTTTAAAATTAAGTTCAACGTCAATATTTTAACCTCAGATCACCTGCAAGAGGTTTTGAGTATTGACAAGCTTTAATGTTGACAATTGGCAGCAAGATAATTCAAGTTATCGCTCAATGCATAAAAACTTGAAAATCAAAGTCAAACTGTTTCAGTATTTTGTCGAGCATTTCAAAGAAAATAGACTTAAAAATCACACAAACATTTTTTCTTATTCCTTATGACTCCCATAAAAGAAATTCACTTGAATTTTTGTCAATTTTGTTAATAATAACAAGCTATCCCAATTTACCCAGAGTTTTCAAATTTTTGGGGTAAATGGGGACAGCTTGTTATTATTAACCAAATTAACAAAAATCAAAAATTCAAGTGAATTTGTGTTATGGGAGTTATAAGGAATAAGAAAAAAATTTTGTATGATCTTTAAGTCTGTTTTTTTCAAATGCGAGACAAAATACTAAAATAAAAAAAAATTTAATTGGTTCAACTATTACATATCTACTACAAATTTTTTTCAAGTTTTTTCATCCCTTAATACAGTAATATACTTAAGAAAACTTTTTTCTTAAACTTTTGTTAGAAACTATGCTGTCCCCATTTACCCCAAATTTTAGGAAATTTTATAAATCTTGGGGTAAATGGGGACAGCCAGTTTCATGCGTTTAAAGCTTATCTAAATTTTTTTCTGCTGCATAAAATTAATCCTGGGAATGTAAATAACAACTTAAAAAAATAAACCCGCAAATATTACCATTTAATGGAAGAAACTTACGTAATTTGTGAAAAATAGCAATTTTGTCCCCATTTACCACAACTGACCCTAATGAAATACAAGCTTCATTAAAATTATTTTAAAAATTGCAAATAATTGAATTTTAGTTTCATTAAGAAAAATGAAAGTAATTTATTTGGCGATGAATTTCACTCAATTTTTTTAACTAATTAAATTTTGGATTTTATTTTTTTTAATAAAATATTAATATTAAAATATTTTTTTAATAAAAAATAAATAAAGTTCAATTAAAAACAGAAATTGTATATATTACTTTCCTGGCAAAAATAGGATATGTTGTATAAATTTTTTTCTATTATTTTTATTTTATTTTTTCTTTAATAATAATCAAATTATTAAAAATTCTTAATGATTTTAAAAATAATGGTATATAAATAATCACTCGCGCTTTACCGCGCGTATATTTTGCTAGTTCAATTATTATAGTAAAATTAAATTATAATTAAATAAAAAAAAAAATAAGACAATTTCTGTTAATTAAAATTTGAATTTAAATAAGAAGTAATTTTTTTATAAGATTTTTTATTTTCAAATTTTTTCATTACTTTTAAAAAAAGTACTGAAAAAATAAGATTAATAGTATTTGCTTTCATATTGAATTAATTTTATATAATTGGGAAAAAGTTTTGTTCAATAATTGAGAAAATATTTTTTTCCTGCATAAAATTAAGAAAATAATTAATTAAAGACATTAATTAATCAACTGACCTTAATCTTGCCGCTTTGGTTTGTGACAATCTTTTTCCGCTAGTCCGATATTTTCCACTTTTCCTTTTGTGCCATGCGTTCAAAACTTCCTTCTTAATTTCCTGTTGTATAGGTCCAATTTGTGACTCCTCAAATTCATCTTCTTCTTTATCGGGTGATTTTTCCATTTTTTATATTATCACTTTAAACTATAAACTAACACTTAAACACTACATCACTACACTAAATCTCCTGTCCTCACGATTTAAAAAAATAGGGAGTGAAATATTTTATTTACAAATTTCGGTTCGTATAATTGATGTGGACCTTAGAATTCAAATGTTTATTTTGACTTCTAACACAATACACGAAATTCACGACCGTTAATCTTGTATGCGATTTGAGTATTTGCAAGTTCGAACGGGTAGATAAGAAACTTCCCGGTCGGCTTCACAAAAGTGAGTTATTTCCTTCACTTGATTAGTTGCTCTCTCTCCCTCTCTCTCTTGGCACGCGTCTCGTCAAACGCCGATTGTTGTGCACCAGCTATAAGCGCACACACACAAACGCTCGTGCTCACGTACACTAATGTAAACGCTGCTCTGTCAATTCATTATATTTAAAACAAAATTTTTATATGATTGTTATATTAACGCTTTCCGTTGACAATATCGCATTTCAAAAAATAATAAAATCATGTTTGGATCTCAGTTTCATACAATTATATAAAAATTTCCGGGTAATATAATCGTATTTCAAATTAAATTTAAATTCACGAAAAAAATGAAATATAAATTCGTTTTTAATTGTTTATTTTTTAATGTTTATTATTATTGTTTCTTATTTTTTAATGATCAATAACTGATTTATAATTATTAAAAAAATAAATGAATTTTTAGAAAATAATAAAACTAGAAACATTAATTTTATATATATTATTTTATTCTGTATCATGTATTTATAATCTTTTTATTTTCTTTACTTTTTATTTTGTGAATAATTATTAATCACTATTAATCTTAAAAACATATAAGGGAAATGTGCGCGCTCAAACGCATTATTATTATTATTATTATTTAGTAAGCAAAACTGACTTTTTTTAGTAGAAAGTGATGAAACAACTAATTCAATAGTAACAGATGATGCTACTAATTGAATTTGTAAAATTTTTACTATAATTTTCTTAATTATTTCTTTTTTGGGCAATTTTAAAATTCAGAACGAAATCTTTTTGAGGGATCTACTTTCGGTCATTTGCAAATTATGGTAAAAAATATTTTAACAAACTGAAATTTTACTACACTGAAAAAAAATTTATTTGATTCAAATACTTCAAATTATTTGAAAAATATTTAATTGGTTTAAAACAATATATGTATTTGACTTAAATAACTAGAATTATTTGAATCACATTTATTTGAAGCAAATATATTGTATTTGGTTCAATTAAATAATTAATTGAATTGAATAAATGAATTTATTTAATACAAATAATGAGTTACTTGCAACTATTAATTTATTTATTTCACTCAAATATTTCGTTTTTTTGATACAATAAATTTATTTTATTGATTCTAATCAACTAAATTATTTAATGTTAATACACTATTTTATTAAACAAAAATAAAATATTTTGCTCAATGAAATATTCAAGTGTAATGAGAATAATGAGTTATTTGATACTATTCATTTATTTATATATATTATTTAATATTCTAAGTCCAAAAGACAAATATTTTTTTATCGACAAAAAATTAATGTTCACAATAATTGAGAACAACAAAAAACATGTTTTTAATCAAAATATATTTCACTTTTTTGAAAATTCACCTGGGATGATTCATGATAATAATCATAAAGCATATAATTAATTATATTTTATAAATTGCATTTAATTGAATAATATAATTTAATATCTTAACTTTAACTAAATGATGTTAAGCACTTTTCTGAGTTAGGTATTTTGCTAGTTTAAATAGAATCAAGAAGTTAACATTCGTTTTCATGTAGCGTGCGTAGCGTAGTTGGTAAAGTGTTAGGCTCATAGTCCATAGGTTGTAGGTTCGATTCCCTTCATGCGATAGATTTTTTATTTCTCAGGTTTGCGTTTAATTATTAATTCTATGAATGAATTAGTTGAAAAATGAAAATATCCGATCATAGTATGCAGAAATTACAATTTTTTAAATTTTTTATTTAATACTTTTAATCTATATCCGCCAGTTAATTAATTAGAACGTTAATTAATAAATTTAATTTGAGTAAGAATTTAATTTAGAAATGAAAGAATAAAATAAAATAATAATTGCCGCAATTAAAGAGGTTTTAGTTTCAATTAAAACAATTACTTATGATAAATAATCAAACATTTGATTCAAGAAAATTTTTATTTTTTTTCAAGAAAAATATTTTATTGGTGCAAATAAATATTTATTTGAATCAAAAGACATGCAGTATTGAATGAAATAATTTTCATAATTGATTCAAATAATTATTTATTAGCTTTGAATATTTCGCATTTATTTTTTTTTATTATCTGAAATAAAAAATTATTGTATATAATTAATTTCTTTATAGGATATACAGAATACCTTTTCTTTGAATATATATTTTATAAATGATATTATTTTATTTATTATTTATATTTATATTATTTATATTTATATTTATATTTATATTTATATTTATATTTATATTTATATTTATATTTATATTTATATTTATATTTATATTTATATTTATATTTATATTTATATTTATATTTATATTTATATTTATATTTATGATACTATTTACTTGTCATTCCGCATAATTAAAATTCTATTTGAAAAAATTCTGAAAATAAAATTCAAGAAACATATCTTGGTTTGTTGTCATTTTCAAGGGCAAAAAGTCTCATATACGCTTCTAATGCCATCGTGCAGCCGTGCACGCAGATTGGCTGCGGACCCGAATTCCTGAACAGCGATTGGAGGAAATAACCCTACTTTTCGCTCGCGTCCACGCGTCATCACAGATATCGTTGTTTTTGGGTGGTTTTGGCTATTTTAGACAGTTTGTCGTCAATCTACAAGTGAAAAGGAGTAGTTCTCCAGTTTTATAGTGAAAAAAAGCAAGTCGAAACCCGCATGCCTAGGAGAAGTGCAGGAAGAAGCCCTGCTGTGAAAAAGGGAAAAAACACACCCAAGAAAGTAAGTCATTATTATTTAATAAAAATTCAATTTAAAACTTTAAATGACTTTAAACTCCCAGTAAGCAAAAAATTTTCATTGTTAATAAAACGTTCGTTAAACGCTTTTGAAGTGTTTTAAAAATTATGGTTTTTGCCAACTGGATTACATTTTAAGGATTACTTTTTTTTCTGTTGTAAAAAATTGTTTTTAAATCTCTCCTTTTAAAAGTTTGTACTTCTCAATTATGTTTTCTTGATTTAAGTAATGTAGATTCTGTTAGATAAAATTTTCTTATTAAATGAATGGCCGCGTAGAAAAAAATTTTCAAAAATAAAATTAAATTTTTGAGAAATTAGATTTTTTTTCAAAAAAATGATGTTCTTTTGTAATATTAAAAACATTTCAAAGATTTTTTTATTTTTCTTTAATATTTTTTAAAATATTTTTTTAAATATTTTTTTTAAAACATTAATCAAGTTAAAAGAAAAATAATTAAAAACATGATAATGTGAAACAAATAAAGAAAAAAGAATGAAAAAAAAATTTGTAAATTTTTGTAACTCTGCAAAATATCTTTTTTCGTAAAACAGAAAATAAGTGTCTCTTAGTTTTTCGGAAAAACAATTAAAATTATATATTAAAAGCATGATTTTAAATTACAAATTAATTTAAATGATTTAAGATAGAAATAGCAAGCAGTTTTGTTTATTGGAAGGTGCATAAATCAATTGTGAACAAAAATTTTAGAATATTGATTTGACAGAATTGTAATCAGTCGAATTTTACTTGATCATAATATGAAATTGTTGAAATTGTAGTTTTAAAAGATTTCTATCTAATTAAGTTTTATTTTTTTAAAAATTCAATTTGTGCAAAACATTTTTATTACTTTTTTTTCGTAGAATTTGAATAATGCAGAATTGTAATTAAATAGAATTTAAATATTTTAGAATGAAAATTTTGTAGAAATCTACTTGATCTAAATTAACATTTGTGTCCTGACGCGGTGAAAGGGACCTTATGGTACAATAGCAAATTGTACTTTTGAATGTTCATAATAAAAAATGAATTGAACAAAATAATTTCTAGTTTTTGGAAATGAAAGAGCAACTCAAATAATTTGATTTCCAAAAATTACAAATTATTTTGTTGAATTCATTTTTTATTATGAACATTTAAAGTACAATTTGCAATTGGACCATAAGGTCCCTTTCACTGCGTCAGGACACATTTGTTGAAATACTAATTTGTCAGAATGCTAATTCGATTGAAAATTAATTTGCACCGAAATATTTCTGGCAAATTAATTTTTCATTAAATTGAATTTCTGACAAATTAATATTAGATAAATGTATATTGCGATAAGGTAGATTTTTATCACAATATTTTTTTTCAATATTAAGATACTATTTACTTGCCATTCCGCATAATTAAAATTCTATTTGAAAAAATTCTGAAAATAAAATTCAAATTTCTATCTAATCAAAATATTAACAAATTCGCTGTAGAGTTTATAATATCATCTTTTACTTATTCTAATCAACGGATTCACTATAATTAACATTTATAATAATGAGTGTAAAGTAAATTTTTTCGCATTCTGTTATTTTTAAACAAAGTAATGTTAAAAAATTACTTTCGTTCTAAACTTGCGTCACAAAAATTCAGTATATTTTGTTGCATTACTCGGAGTAATTAGTAAATTAATTGATTTATTAAAAAATTAATACTTATTATAAAATAATTATTCATTATTATTATTCTCGCTTCCCTTCAAATTAAAAAAAAAATTTGCATGAGTTACATTGAAAGTTATCAATAATTAATCGAAAATTTTATTATAGGGTTTAGTGGAATATTTACGTCAACTAATTTAAAAAAGAACAATTTTAATGAAATAAATTTAATAATAGATCTATTCAAAAATACTTAAATATTTGTTAGAGGGCAAATCACGATTTAAAAATTTTGAGTGAACATTAATGACAAATAATTAATTTTTTTTGTTATATTAGAAGCTTTTATATAAAATAAAAAATAATTTAAAATTCTTTTTAATTTTTTTCATTTTACAACTATTAAATAAAACTAAATAGCGATAAAATAAATAAAGGAAACTATTAGTGGAAATAAATTTATTTATTTAGTATACTCTTCCTAAGGCCTTTCAAGATACAAATTTATCTGACTTGTAAATTACATATAATAATCGTGAATATCTTTCGTTCATTCTGTTCACACCTGAAGTTAGTATTTGTTATAGGTCTTTTGTTTTTTTTAAATGTATTGTTTGACATTTTTAAAAATTTTTCAATGTTTTTTTTGGCATTGTTTCGATAATTAATTTTGAATAGAAATTTTAAAAAATAATTGAATTTTATTTTATTTTAAATTGAAAACTTGGTAAATAATTGAATTTTAAATTGAAAATTTGAAAATAATTTAATTTTAGTTGATTGTTGATTGAAAATTTGAAAATAATTAATTTTAGTTGATTGCTGATGGAAAATTTTGATAATAATTAATTTTGACTCGAAATTTTGGAAAATAATAAAATTTTAATTAAAATTTTGGATAATAATTTAATTTAAGTTCATTTTTAATTGAAAATTTCGATAATTAATTTTGAATAGAAATTTTAAAAAATAATTGAATTTTATTTTATTTTAAATTGAAAACTTGGTAAATAATTGAATTTTAAATTGAAAATTTTTAAATAATTTAATTTTAGTTGATTGTTGATTTTAAATTTGAAAATAATTAATTTTAGTTGATTGCTGATGGAAAATTTTGATAATAATTAATTTTGACTCGAAATTTTGGAAAATAATAAAATTTTAATTGAAATTTTGGATAATAATTTAATTTAAGTTCATTTTTAATTGAAAATTTCGATAATTAATTTTGAATAGAAATTTTAAAAAATAATTGAATTTTATTTTATTTTAAATTGAAAACTTGGTAAATAATTGAATTTTAAATTGAAAATTTTTAAATAATTTAATTTTAGTTGATTGTTGATTTTAAATTTGAAAATAATTAATTTTAGTTGATTGCTGATGGAAAATTTTGATAATAATTAATTTTGACTCGAAATTTTGGAAAATAATAAAATTTTAATTGAAATTTTGGATAATAATTTAATTTAAGTTCATTTTTAATTGAAAATTTCGGGTAATAATTGAATTTTAATTGAAATTTTCGATAATAATTTAATTTAAGTTCATTTTTAATTGAAAATTTCGATAATTAATTTTGAATAGAAATTTTAAAAATAATTGAATTTTATTTTATTTTAAATTGAAAACTTGGTAAATAATTGAATTTTAAATTGAAAATTTGAAAATAATTTAATTTTAGTTGATTGTTGATTTTAAATTTGAAAATAATTAATTTTAGTTGATTGCTGATGGAAAATTTTGATAATAATTAATTTTGACTCGAAATTTTGGAAAATAATTGAATTTTAATTGAAATTTTGGATAATAATTTAATTTAAGATGATGTTGAATTAAAATTTCGGGTAATATTTGAATTTTATTTAATTTTAAATTGAAAACTTGGTAAATAATTGAATTTTAAATTGAAAATTTGGAAAAGAATTCAATTTTATATATAATTTAATAACATATAATAATAATTTTCATTATTATCATTTAATATGAAATAATATTCTAATAAATTTAAATTATTATTGATAATATTAATCTTTAATTTCTTTATAACAAACAATTAAATACTCAATTTGGCGCGCTTGCGCGCGTTTAATATTGCTAGTTTGTTATTAATACTAAAAGGGATTATTTTAAAGTGACAAATTTAATTATAGTTATATTTTAATAAACTAACATTTTTAAAAGCATAGTTAAATGACCAAACAAATAGGAACGATAAATCGAAATTTTTTTTAATTGTAAAGAGCACGAGACATGGACCTTTAATTTTTTCAAAAAGAATTAAGTTTAAAGTAAAGCGAGCAGTCTAATAAAATGTAATTAAATTGGCGACTTTTTTTATTCTAAGCAATAAAATTCCATAAAATACAAATTCGTTATTTTTACAAAAATATTTTAAAATAATTTTCCCAAATATTAATTTGATCTAATCATAATATTCTTACAATGTGCAGTCAAAAAAAGAAGAGAAAATGGACCAAGGTTCGCAACAGGGGCAACTGGTGCAACAGGGAATCTCACAACAGGATCAACAGTTGCAAGGATCCCAACCGCAACAAATTCAACAAGGGCAACTTGCTCTGCATCAACCGCAGGTGTATCAGGGGCCTCCACAACAACAACTGCAATTACAGCAGGGGCTTCCAATTCAGCAACAACAACTGCAGCAGGTGGTTCCAATTCAGCAACAGCAACTGCAGCAGGTGGTTCAAATGCAACCACAGCAGGTGTTTCAAGGACCCCCGCAAATGCAGGTTCAAGAGCAAGGATTCCAACAACAGCTGCAACAAAAACCCCTACAGCAGCAACAACAATTGCAGCAAGGACTTCCGGTACAGCAGGGACAAATTTAATTTAATTTTAAATTTTATTTAATTTAATTTATTTAATTTTAAATTTAATTTAATTAATTTTAATTAAATTAAATTTCGGTACAGCAGGAACTTCCAATGCAGCAGTCTCAGCTGCATCAGGAATCTGCACAACAGCAGTTCCAGCTACAACAGGGTCTTCAACAACAGCTACAACAAGGGATTCCACTTCAGCAATCGCAAATATATATACAGGGACCCCCACAACAACAACTGCAGCTAGTCCAGGGACAACTGTATCGGAGACCTCCAGCAGAGCAAATCCAGGTGAACCAGGGACTTCCTTCACAGCAATTTCAACCTTATCCAAGACCTCTGCAACAACTGAAAACGCTCCAGGGACCTGAACAACAGTATCTGTATTCAGCTGCAGTTCAACAACAGCAAGGACTTGGAGGAAAACAGCGAGAATTTCAACAACAATCGCTACAACTGGAAAAAGAGGATCAACAGACTGGAGATTTGTTGCATGTGCAGCAATTGGAAGAAGCTCGTTGCAATAAATCCGACACAACGCAAAAGCGCTACTTTCAAAGCGTGCAATACCAAACTCGTAGCAACACAATGCACAACGTAAGCAGTTTTTTTCAATTTTTTCATTTTTATTAATAAAATCTACTCTTTCTCTGGTATTTTGTTTTATTTTTTTTTAACATACACAAATTTATAAAAACTCTTCCATTAAAATTTTTAAAAAATTACATTGAATATTAAAAATTAACTTCTTTACAATAAATAATATGTGAAATCTTGAGTTTTTATATCTAAATCGAGAAATATTTTTTTTATCATCTGTACTTTACAATTTGTAAAGATTCTAAATTGGAACAATTTGCACAAATTGAACTCTGAAAATTATTAGAAAAAAATTTTTTTAATTTAGAGCGCATGAAAAAAAATTTGTCGAAAAAACGTCTAAAACAAATTTGTTAGAAGTTGTATTTGATAAAATTTTTATTAGCTTAATACTAATTTCTCAGAAAATCAATTTAGTCGAAACTTAATTTGTCTAAAAATGGATTTGATCGAGTTTTCATTTACCTGACATTCAGTTTGACCAAATTTACTTTTTTTCGAAACATTGTTTTATAGAATATCAATAGTGCAGAAAATAATTTAAAAGAAATCTAATTTACCAGAATGTATATTTGTTTAAATGTTTTTTTCCCAAGAATTTAATTTGCTCGAAAATTAATTTGGCAGAATCCAATTTGATCAAATTTTCATTTGCCAGAAAGTCAATTTTATCGAATTTTAATGTACAAAAAATTAAATTTGATTTTTTATAAATTAAATTTTTTATAGATTTTTAATTTAACAATATGGTAATTTAATAAAAGATAAATATACCAAAAAAAATTTAATAGAAATCTACTTTATTAAAAAGTAAATTTATTCGAATGTTAATTTGCCAGAAATTTATTTTCACCGAAAATTAATTTGTCAGTAATATTTCGGCGTGAATTTAAAAATTGACTAAACACAATTTTCTTGATAATTTTTGGTCAATTTTTAAATTCGCCCAAAACGATTTCTATCAAATTAATTTTATGTGATATTGAATGTCTCAAACAAATATGCATTCCCGTAATGTAAATTTCCAGTAAATTTTTTTTCTGCAATGTTGACATTTTATGAAATTAAAATTCTTTTAAAAAAAGGTTGAGCCCAAATTAATATTTGATCAAATTAAATTTCTGCCAAATTAAAATTCTATCACAGTGAACTTTTGTCAAATTAAAATTTCCTCTAATTGATTTTCAGACAAATTATAATTCAATCAAGTTATCTATTAGACAAATTCATATTATAATGATTTAAATTGTATCAAATATAACTTTTAACAACTTTAATTTATAGCTTATTTAAGCTCAGTCCCCCAAATGTTATCATAATTTTTTTTAACTAAGTTTTGTCCAACTTATATTCTTAATATATATATAAACGAATCGATTGATTTACACAAAGTATATATTGTATTTGAATTTATAAAAATAATCTTTCATTTTTAACTGTAAGAAAATATAAATTTTAAACAATAATTTTTTTGCAGCAAATCAAGAAATTCGAGGATCGATTGACAGAGGTCGAAAAACAATTAAAATTTTTGAAATTTACCGTCACTGATTTGGAGAGAGATAGAGAGAGGGAGAAGGAAAAAGCTCGAGAGAGAGAAAGACAATTCGAAAAGGAAAGAAGAAATCGATATTAACGTGCTCAAATTTCATTTTTATTTTTATTTAATTTTTTTTATTAGTAACGCTGATTTTCTTCGATGTTGAAAAAGGTTCAACTCCCTGATGACTTTTAACTAAAAATGTGTTTTGTTATTTAAGATATATCCCATGTTATTAGTCAAAATTTTTTCTAAGCATTAATCATATCTTAATATAAATTGTCTATTATTTCCAGAATCAATTTTTTAATATTCTTAGTATCCAGAGAAAGAGTTTACACTATTTTATTTGACAAATTTGTAATTAGAAATCAAAATTTCATAGACTTTTAAATTTACTTTTCTCACAATTTTTTAATACAATATCTCTCGCGAGATTTTTTTTTAAATTATTTAATTTAAACGAATGATGGTTAATTCTTTTTAGAAAAATATTCTTGTCATCTTCACCGAACGAATTAACGAAAAAGTTAACTCTTTCTCTGGATAATAAAAATTGATTCAGGAAATAAAAAGGTACTATTTATTAATTAAAACATGTTCAATACTTAGAAAAAGCTTTGACCAATTTTGAGTATAAGAAAAATATTATTTTATTTTGTTTCGCTTGCGTTTATCTTTATATTGTGTTCATGTATTTTAGAAAAGGTTCAACCTTGTGATATGACCTCAAACTAAAAGCGGGTTTTGACCATTTAATGTGTCAAAGCTTTTTCTAAGTATTTTTTAGCATATAAGCGTTTTCTAACGAAGCTGAAGTACGCAACGTTTATGATAAACGATTTTTAAAAAAATAATTTTTTAAAATGAAAAATTCTATAATTTTTTGCCTAAAAAATATTTTTTTATAATTTGTTTATTAATGAAAACTACAAGAAATATTTTTTAGGCGAAAAATTATAGAATTTTTCATTTTAAAAAATTATTTCTTTAAAAATCGTTTATCATAAACGTTGCGTACTTCAGCTTCGTCGTTTTCTAAGCATATGATATAATAAATGTTGCCAAAACGTTTGAATTAATGATAAATAGCTTTTTTATTCTACCAACCCTAATGCCAATATAAAAAAATATATTTATTTAAAAAATCTTTTAAAACTCATATATTGACATCTTTGTGAACTTTTTATATTTAATATCAGAACATATTGACGTTTTAAAAATAGAAAACCTTGAATAACTTAATTTGGTGTAGGTTTTTCTTCTATGATTTTGCATTTTTCATGAGAATTTTAATGGTTTTAGAATAATTTTTTTAGAAAATAGAAATTTTTAAATTTTAAGAACGTTAACTATGGATAAAATGATAAATTTTTCACTAATAGGTCAAAAACGCGTTTTTAGAAAACTATAGGAAAGAAATACAAAAGTATTTATAGGTGTCTAAATATTTTTTTTAATATTGGGTGAAAAACGTTTTTTTCTTTTTCCTAAAATGTTTTTAAATTTTAGATTGAATAACAGTAAAATCTAATATATCAAATGAAGTATTTTGAAAAACTTAAAAAATAAAAATAGCAGAAAAGTATTTTTAGGTGTCAATGCACTTTGTTGGATTTACGGGCCAACATTTTTTAAAATTTATAAATGCAAAAAAACAACGGTTAGTTTACAATTAATTTGGGTAAAAGTGCTTTTATTTTATGAAAAAAATGCGGAAAAAGAAATATAAAATTAAATGAATTAATAATAATTATTATACGAATAATTTCAATAATATTAATTTAATTAATAATTAAAATCGTAAATAAAATTTTATTTTATTTAACTGTCGTTTTGAGGTTATGTTGTTTTGTTTTCCAATGCAATTTTCCTCGTTTTGTGAATTGTATACAAGAAATAGTATAGTTTTATACTAAATAATCAATATTTATTGCAATTTTTACAGATAAACTGCACTGCTCAACTCATACGTTTATTATTTGTTTCTATCTTCAATTTTATTTTTTTAACTCACACTACAAAAGGAAATATATGCATGTTCGTTTTATTTCACTTATTCACAAAACTTATAATGAGATTCACTCCACTATATCACTAATTACAAAAATTTAAAAAGCAACATATAATAAATATGCATTTTAGTTTTTTCAATAAAAAATATTCAATATGCATTTTTAGTTTTTTAATTATAAATAAAATCTCGTATGACATTTTAACTCCTTTAAAAACATATTCTACATTACCGACCGCTTGTAATATCTCGCGTGAGGCGCTGCTCTGATCTTCCTCGAAGATAACAATTACAGCGTTTTGATAAAAAAACATTTTTTTAACAAAATACTCCAAAATGACCGAAATTCCGCGCATTGAAATGTCTTTTTTTTCCCCTCAAAATATCTTCCTAAAATATTTTATCGTTTAGGAGAAATCCGTCCAAAACCTTTTGGTGTAGGATAGTAGTTTTCTACTCATACAACTTCGATCAATTACCATCGCACATATACTTCACATGTCAAATTATAAATATAAATTAAAAATTTTTTAAACAAATTATAAATACTTGCCAGGAAACTCTAGATAAACATGTCCTTTTTCATTTCCTACAACAGTTTTTGCAAAATTCCTTTCTGATTAGGAGAAATCTGTCTATGAATAATTTAATCAATAATAATTAATTAAAAATTTTTTAAACAAATTATACAATACTTACCAGGATACTTTAGATAAATATGTCCTTTTTCATTTCCAAAAATTAATTTTTGAAAATTTCTTTCTGTTTAGGAGAAATCCGTCTAAAAAAATTATCGATTTTTTTCTCAAACCTGAATAACATGACCTTAAATAAACACTGCGCTTGCTTCCATTTAACGAGTTAAATTTTTACTTGAATTTCACGATATTTTTGCTAAGGAAAAAATCTCACAACAAGATACGATTTTGATGGAAAATGATGTTTTTCCCATTTTCCCAACAGAAACCAAAAGACGAATTCACGAAGGGAATTTTTTCAGCTTGAATATTGTGCGAATTAAGGGGGATACACCAGTTGTAGCGCGCAAAAATTTGACCATTTTCATGAATTTTTTTGAATAAAACTACTAATTTTTTAATACCCTTGGATTGTGAAAAGAATTATCTTGAAATTTAACAAAATCCATTTGAAATTTGTGTTTTAAATGAACCAGCTTTTTGTAATCATGACAACCGTAAAGTGGTGCAGACCTGAAGAAGATGGCACATCACACATCCATTTTAAAATATTTTTGAAAAAAATTTGTGGAAATTTCTAGCTTAAATTGTGTTCTTTTAGATAGTAAATTGTATTACATAAAAATATTAGTGGTTTTTCCAGAAAAAAATTCATGAAAATTGTCAAATTTTTTCGCGCTACAACTGGTATACCCTCTTAAACTATTGATTACATATATATTTTACTACAAAAAAATCATATAGCCAAAAGTCGATTCTTCATGAAATCAATAAATTTCTCTTTTTTTCATCCGAGTCCAAGAAACGGACTTTTATTGACTTCTTTAGTTAAATTAATAAATTATATTAAATTAAAAAAATACTCTGTTTTATTCAATTCAACGATTTAAACTTTTTTTTAAATTGGCAATTATGTTTATAACTGTAAAATTAAATATGCAAGGCAAAAGACGATTTAAAATAAAACAGATAAATTTCTGACTTTTTTGTCCGCGTCCAGAGGTGATAATTTTTCAGGGATTTCTTTAGCTAAATAAAATGCTGCGTTAGATTCTGATTGAGTAAAATTTTTTTTTATGAAATTGACAGTTTTTCTATAATAGAAAAAATCTTTAAGGAAACAGATGATTTTAAAGGAAATTGACACTTATTCTAATTTTTTCGCACAAACCCAAAAGACTATTTTTTCAAGTGATTTTAGAAACATATTTAGCACCAGTTCTAAAAACATTTTTACAAACCAATTTAGCACCAGTTTCAGAAACAGTTTCAGAAACAGTTTTAGCACCAGTTTTAGAACCAATTTAAGAAACAGATTTAGCATCACTTTTAGAACCATTTTTAGAAACAGTTTTAACGTCAGTTTTAGAACTATTTATAGAAGCAGTTTTAGCACCACTTTTAAAACCATTTTTAGAAACAGTTTTAGCACCATTTTTAGAATCATTTCAGAAATTTTTTTCAAAGCTACATCTGTTTGTCGTATCGCCGTTTTTTCATCATACTTTGAATTATCATGGAAATTTTAAAAATTTGCTGTCTAAAATCCTTATTGAACATTATTCTTGAAATGTATCAAAATAACTTATTTGAGTTCATTATTAAAGAGGGGGTTTCTCATGAAAAAGTCCAATTTTTTTGCATAAATTTACTCCTTAATATGTCAAAAATGCCCTCCTAAAATTTTAAGTCGATCCGAGTGATAGTTTTCGAGATAGATCAGTTATAGTGGGTGGCGAAACCACTGTAACATATAGCGCTATCGTGGCTTAACGCGTTTAAAGCCACCGGCTTTAAACGCATTTTTCTCAAAATCATGTTTCTCACGGTAGACACGATTCAGAAAAAAGATTTTGCCTTAAGGGGGGAACACCAGTTGTAACTTTCGAAAAATCGATTTGTTTTGTGAATTTTCTTAAAGTATACATATTTAGAAATGTGTCTGTAAATTTCAAAGTTGATCCGGTGAAAAATAAATGAGATATACAGAACACTGCAGCGGCGCGTCCCGTGGCTTCATACAAGGTGGCCAGCCATACCTGCCCCTAACGACAGATGGCAGCAAATTGGCATTTTAGAATCGGCAACCACTGCGGAAGAGTTATTATATGGTCCAGGAATCGATGACTCTTTGTAACTTGGAAACAAAATTTCTTCTGAACAAAAAAAGTAAGTTGAAACTTTGAATGCGTTTTTCTCAAAATGACATTTTCCAAGTCGGTGACCACGATTACTCGAATACCATTAAACCGATTTATTTAAAATTTAGTGTGCTTCATTTACACATATAAGTCTAGTTCGTGATCGAAGGATTTTTTTTTATGCAAAACTTTTTTTTATATAGCTGAAAATCGACCTATTTTTTAACGAAAATCATACTTTTGACTTTGACAGGTCGCCATTTTGTCAAATTTTTTTTTTTTAAATCCTTCGATCACGAACTAGATAATCTTATAATAAATGTAAATCAATTTCATTTTGGTATTACAGACGAAGTATACTTGCAGAATGCTGGTCACCGCAATTCGCCTTTTTTCTTAAGGCGCCACTTCAATTGCTCATATCTCCAAAAGTTTTTGTTAAAAAAATTTTTTTTCTTTTAAATTACAGCTTTTTACATGTACTTTTCACTAATAAATAGTATTCTTTAAAAAGATTCATTGTTCTTTTGGAAAATATTCTTGTAAAAAGCATTATTTGTTGAGTTACAACTGGTGTTCCCCCCTTAAATCTTTTTGCATATTGTTTTTCACACCTTTCCGCAGTTATTGAACTAGGATGAACTAAATCGGTAACCCTTCCTCCTCCTCCCCCACTAGATTGAAGTATAAAAAAACGTTTTTTCGAACTTTTAATTTAAAAGTCCGCCATTTTTAATTTTTTGGTTTTCAATAAAACCCCATGTGTAGAAAGTCACTACATATGTAGATTTTAAGAGTTTTTTTGATTTTTTAATTTCCACTAATTTAAAATGGAGGAATCATGTCTTTTTTAAATTAATAATTTTCGTATGCA